TCTCCCCGGAAACTCTCGGCGGTGGTGCGGGGCTTTCCCCGCCTTCCTGCAAAACAGCGGAGGGTTCGCCTTTCGCCTCCCCATCCCCCACCCCCCCCCCGGACACAGTGCAGGTCCCCGTAGACCTGTCACAGCCCCCCGCCGGAGTACCTCCCGATACTCCGGCATATCCAATAATTCGGCACCACCTAGGTCCCAAAGGTGCTGGATTATCAGAAGTCTACAGTACTGTCAATGAAATTGGCAGATTTCTCTTGATTCCCTAAAACTTGCAGCTCAAGTGATTTTCAAAACAAGATAGTTCGGCTCTTTATGTAATAGATAGTGTGGGTGAGCATCCCTTGGAAGAGAGAAGTTTTTTGTAAAGCAGTACAAAAACAGATTCATGATTTTTTTATTTGGAGCCTTTTACCTTGTCTACACTTGCACCCTAGTTCAAACTAGGGATGCAAATGTAGGCATTCGAAATAGTCAATGAAATGGGGATTTAAATATCCTGCGCTTCATTAGCATGATGTCGCCGGCGCGTTACTCTGATCAACAGCTATTTCGAAAGTGAAAAGTGCACACCAGGATGCATTAGTTCGAACCAAACCCCTTGGATTGAGCTAACGTTACCCCTCAAAAAAATCCTGGCACGCACTTTCACTTTCGAAACAGCTGTTGATCGGTGTAACGCGCCGGCGAGATCATGCTAATGAAGCACGGGATATTTAAATCCCCGCTTCATTGACTATTTCAAATGCCTGTATTTGCATCCCTAGTTCAAACTAGGATGCAAGTGTAGACCTACCCTAACTGTTCGATCTGACATGATGTTATGTGGGAGTATTTCTCCAAGATTTCCTTTATTCCTCTTTCTAATCTTATTTTATATTTCAGGAGAATAAACTTTGAGTCATGTATACAAGTCTCTCTTAATGTACCTAGCTGCTAACTGTTTAGTATCAATGGAATTTTTTCTGTCTCTTTGTCCTCCCTCCCCTTCCAGCTTCTATTTCATCTATTTATTAAGGCTGTCAATTGACCTGTGTTAACACCTGCAATTAATGCAGGGCAGGATTAATGCGTTAATTTTTTTTAACTCATTAATCGCAGGCATTAATGCTGCGCTGCCCCTTTGAAGTGCTGCTCTGGCACTTCAAAGGGGCAGCGCAAGTGAAGCCAGGGATCAGCTGGAGTCGCCAGCTGATCCCCAGCTCCACTGTTGCAAAGCCCCTTTGAAGCACCTGTCGAAGCAACACCTGAGCAGTACTTCAAAGGGGCTTTGCAACATGGAGCTAGGTATCTGGGAACTCCAGCTGATCTGAGGCTCCTAGTGCGCTTCCCCTTTAAAGCTCCAAAATGGCACTTCAAAGGGGCAGTGCAACAGCAGAGCCATACATCAAGTAGAGTTCCCGCTGTGTGTCTATGCCCGTGTATTAATACTTTACCATTCTTCCTCATGTTTCATATAGGAAATACAAGGTTTTCAAAAGTGGCTATTGATTTTGGGGTCAGCCCAGCTTTTGGATATCTACATGGAGATGCCTGAAGGGGGCCTGATTTTCAAAGGGATGTTTTGGACAGTACTGAGCAAATTCCTTTTAAGGCATATCACTTGGGACACCAAAAAAGTGAAGCATCCAAAACTGCTAGTAACTTTTGAAAATCTTGGCCAATGAATTCACACCAAGCCTGAGTCTCAGCTCCTTTACACCAGTTGTGACTCTGCTGACTTCAGCAGAGAGCTGCAGCAGAGAGCTAGCTCTGTCCTCTCTGGAAAGAGGGACATTTTCTTGTCCTTTGGACTAATGCCTCACATACAGTATACACATTTTTGTAAATAGACCTCATGAGTGCTTAAATTCTCAGAGAGAATTTCAGGAAGGCCCCTGTCCTTGCTATAAAAACTTCAGGAGGATGAAAATATTTACCAGAGGCCTGACCCAGGATAGGACATCACTCTCAATTGACTTACCTTATTCAGCATCTCTGTATAATGCACACAGTACGCAGCCTGGGAAAGTTAAGTATTCATGCAAATTACAATGTAATGGCCTGTTTATGGCCAGCCTGTGGACAGGTGTCTGCAAATGGGTAACATGGTGCATTTTTTTTCTGTTTTACTATCTGAGAGTGATTGTAATATACATCACTAAAAGCAAAAAAACAAATGAGCAACTGAATGCTAGCAATGTGGACTTGCTATTGGCTAAACACTGACCATGTTTAAGGAGAAGAAAATAAATATGTGAACCCTATCACACAGCTCTATTCCTAGCATGTAGATGTCAACAGGGTGGGATGAGAGTATGGGGTTAAATGAAGTCTGCTGCCTTGTTGGTGTGCAAATTCTCAGGTAGTAAGGAGATATGCTATTGACCACAGCAATTTAAGCATTAATAGTTTTAGCTGGTGAGGAGCTTAAAATGTAGGTATATTTTGTGTGAACTCTGTAGCACTAATCTGAGTGCACCCTTGTAAATGTAGTTGGTTCTCATTTTCTCTTTCCTTAAATTGCAGGTCTTCATTCCTTACAGGGTATTTGCATTTCCTCTCCCAGCCTCCTTCCCTCTCTCCCCCCTCTTCCACCCCGCAGAATGCTGTTAAGTCTGTCGTCCTGCTTACTACTGCACATGCAGTTTAATTCGTGCTGCGATGGAAGAGGAATATTAAAAGCAATCTAGTTGTGCAGTCTCCATCTGCTTTTATGCAATGATTAGAAATACGTACTTTCATTATAACACATCTGACTCTACAATTACACAATGGGCTATAAATGACTAGGAGAATGAATATTAACTGAATTAAACAACAAATGGTCTGGTAGCACTTTATAGACTAACAAAATATGTAGATGGTGTCATGAGCTTAACTGAATTGATTTTGGACTTTGCAGACTGGGAACTGTTTAACCAGAATAGATATATTACGGAGTGAGTTTTGCTAAAGAGCTGAATTATTGAGCAGTTTGCCACAGGGTTTGTTCTGTTTTGTGTTGGTAACTAAAGTAATAATACATAATTTTTATTAAGTCACAGATTGCCTTGTTCCACATGTTGAAGATGCAGAGGTTCATAACAAGACATATAGGACTGGAGATAAGTTAATAGTCAACTGTCATGAAGGTTTCCAGATCCGTTACCCTGACTTAGACAACATGGTTTCAATATGTCAAGATGATGGAATGTGGGATAATCTTCCTGTTTGTCAAGGTATAGTACACCAGAACACTTTGTTTTATAGCTTTTGCACCTTATAATAGTTTATCAACACTTTTTCCTGCAACTAAAGAGTATAGCAATAAGCTGACAGCTCCAGTTGTGCAGTATTCTAATGGTACTTCCGCAAAGGCTTTTGGATTTGCTCATCCCTATTGTTCATAGAATCATAGAATAATAGGACTGGAAGGGACCTCAAGAGGTCATCGAGTCCAGCCCCCCGCCCTCCAGGCAGGACCAAGCTCCACCTACACCATCCCTGACAGATGTCTATCTAACCTGTTCTTAAATATCTCCAGAGAGGGAGATTCCACCACCTCCCTTGGCAATTTATTCCAATATTTGACCACCCTGACAGTTAGGAATTTTTTCCTAATGTCCAATCTAAACCTCCCCTGCTGCACTTTAAGCCCATTACTCCTTGTCCTGTCCTCAGAAACCAAGAGGAACAAATTTTCTCCTTCCTCCTTGTGACACCCTTTTAGATATTTGAAAACCGCTATCATGTCCCCCCTTAATCTTCTTTTTTCCAAACTAAACAAGCCCAGTTCATGAAGCCTGGCTTCATAGATCATGTTCTCTAGACCTTTAATCATTCTTGTCGCTCTTCTCTGTACCCTTTCCAATTTCTCCACATCTTTCTTGAAATGTGGCGCCCAGAACTGGACACAGTACTTTTGCAAGTAAAATTCCACATTCCATCATAGCCTTATTTAAAAATATTATGTTAAATTTTGTTATTTATTTGCTAGTCTAAAATCAGTGTTAGTCATATCTTTTCTTTTGATGAAACAAGTTGAAATTCATCCTTGTTATGTTACCACAAGGCCCTTTGAGTCATCTAAATCCATGCACTACTTCGTTTAGTGAAAGAATTGAGCTTTTATACTGATTTTCACTTTGTTAACCCTGCAGGGCCGATGCAACTAGAAGAGAACAAGTTAGAGCCTATTCTGCCTTGTGCATTCTCAACAGAATGGTTTATCAAGTTTTCAATCAGTTGCACCGTGGATAGTGACTGAACACTGTGCAGTTGCATTGAGCCTTTAATTTGGCTAATAGAACCATTAGTACTAGTGATGTGTATGAGATGGGGAAAACACAGCTTGAGATTGTCAGACTTGGGAAGAGTGATTGAGGTTAGGCCACCATTAGAGGACGAGTGTTAAATACCCTGGTCTAACCACATCCCTTTTCTCTTGCATGGGCATGGATTAGCACCTTTAACCTCAGTTTAGCTAATTCAGATTGATCATAGACTCTCCCGGGGTTTGTCCTGACTATATTAATCAAAACAAGAGGTGTTAACCAGCATCTGCACCAAGAGACGGGTTAGGGGTGGCTAACCTTGACCTCATTTCCTTATCTAGACAGGTTTCTGTGTGTAATACCATTTAGGAAATGTACTGTCCTCTGGGGCTTGGAGGTGAGAATGCTGAGCCCCTTTCAGGTGAAATCAGTGTGCATCAGGGGTATCCAGTGTGAGGGGGCGTGGTCACAGAAGACTGCTTGGTGTGCTTCCTGGAGTGCTGACAAAGCCACTGACACTCACCTCCTTGCTCTCTGGGGCTTCTCACTACTGAGAGAGAGGTAGCAAAGGGGGGGAGGAAGGGGTACTTCAAAGTGGTAGCGCCACACAGTGGTGCTGCCACTTTGAAACCCCAAGGTGGTCATTGCAAGGCTGATCTGCGGATCAGCTGTCCGGCGGGCTGCCCCTTTAAAACACCACCTCTGCGCAATCCAAAGGGGCAGCCATGGAGCCCGGGCTCCCTGCGGCATTTCCCCACAACCTGGGCTCAGCCGGGGACTCCCCAGCTGACCCCGGGCTCCTAGTGTCATGCAGTGTAGCATGGAGCCTGGGGTCAGCGGGGGACTGTGAGTCCCTTGCTAACCCCAGGCTCCATGGCTTTGAAATGCACAAGAGCCCCCGCTGAGGACTCTTGTACATTTCAAAGCAGGCACGCCGCATGCAGCATGGAGTCAGTGGGACTTCATGCTGGCCCTGGGCTGTACACCGTGTTCTGCATTCCTCCTTTGAAATGTCCAGCATGGTCTCTTGTACATTTCAAAGGAGGAATGCGGAAGTGCCTATCAATTAGTTGATGGAAAGTCCATTGACTAGTTGACTATTCAGTTAACCACATTTTAACATCCTTACTCACTACCCTCTCCTGCTGGGCCAGATCTCCTGGTCTTCCCCAGCCAAGGCACAGAGTTGAGGTCACCACCCGCCTGTCCCCCAAAGAGCAATGCAGACATTGAATCACCTCAGGTCTGAGGAGAACGTCGTTTTGGGCCTAGCTTCCAGGAAACCAATCCTTAAATGGGATCAGAACCCCAAATAAATAATTCAGAGTAGCCCCCTTTAACTATGAAAGGAGGATGTAAACACTGATTGTTCCCCTACGTAACAATTATTTACACTGGGCTTGATAGTAAATAAAAGTGAATTTATTAAGTACAAGAAATAGGATTTAAGTGGTTGCAAGTGAAAACAGGCAGAGCAAAGTGAATTACAAATTTAAAATAACAAGAAATGCACTGCTAATTCTAACACTAAAAGCTCAGTACAAACCTACCCTAAAACCTACCCTAAAACTCGGTTCTAGTTCATCTAAACCTCCAAGCCAGGGAAGATCATTTTCCCTTCAATCTCTGGTTCATTTACTTGGGTGTGATATGCCAGCCAAAGAAACAAAAGGTCAGCTAGCTTTCCATTGCTTTATAGATTCCACTTTTGTGACATTAATATTGATAGGTTACATGAGGTATTTTGTCCAAAGCATCTTTGAGTGATGCATATTTGTGTCCATAAGTCAATTTCATAAAGCATGGGGAGGGGTGGGGAGTGATACCGTCACATACAGTTAATCTTTTAAAATGCAAGGAGAGCAGAAAAATGATGAAATTTCACTTAAAACACACAGTTGAATAGCAGTGGCCAATATAGAAGCAGAAACAAACCCTTGAGTGATTAATTCTAGATTCATTTTGTTTACTTTAACATGCTTCTGTTTATATGTATTTTGCAAAGAAAGGTCTTAGAGCTGCAATGTGACACCAGTATGTTGAAGTTAAGCAGCTGTGATAGCCCAATATTACTTTGCACTTATGTCTACACTACAGCACTAATTCGAACTAAGCTAATTCAAATTAGCGCATCTAGACTTAAAAACTAGTTTGAATTAGCATTTTGCTAATTCTAACTAGCATGTCCACACTGAGAGGACCCAGAACTGAGGTTAAGGATGGCCGGAAGCAGTGCCGGCAGGGCATCAGATTAGGACTTAGAGTGTGGAGCTGCTGCCTCAGGCTAGCCGAGGGCTGTGCTTAAAGGGACCCGACCCCCACCCCGGACAGACAGATCTCAGGGGTTCCCCGCTTGCAAAGCAGTCCTGGCTTGGAGTGCCCAGAGTGCCCACACTCGGCACATCACAGCACTCGGCCATCAGCCCGGCTGTACTTGCCGCAGGCTGCCATCCGGGGGGGGCGGGGAGGGGGAGGGTCAATCAGGGGGCTGCAAGAGAGCTTCCACCCCGAGGAGCCCGCAGAGCCACCCCAGTCCTTCCCATTGGGGGCTCCAGATGAAATGAATGGGTAGCAGGCTTCAAACTGTTACACCTTGGTTCAGTGATGTGATGGGAGCCTCAAGGGTTAAAGCCGACTACCCAGTGAAAACTACTGGATGATGGTGAAACAAATTATTTTTATTAA